TCTCGCAAACACTTGTTATCGTTTGTTTTTTTGATAACTATCCTAACAAGTATGAGGCGATAACTTACTGTGGTTTTGATTTGCATTTCCCCAATGATTAGTAATGTTAGGCACCTTTTCATATATCTGTTGGCCATTTTTATGTCATTTTTGGAGAAATGCCTATTCAAGTCCTCTGCCCATTTTATTTATTTATTTATTTTTATTTTTTGAGACAGAGTCTCACTGTGTTGCCCGGGCTAGAGTGCTGTGGCGTCATCCTAGCTCACAGCAACCTCAGACTCCTGGGCTCAAGCGATCCTTCTACCTCAGCCTCCCGAGTAGCTGGGACTACAGGCATGCGCCACCATGCCCGGCTAATTTTTTGTATATATTTTTAGTTTTCTGATTAATTTTTTTCTATTTTTAGTAGAGATGGGGTCTCACTCTTGCTCAGGCTAGTCTCAAACTCCTGAGCTCAAACAGTCCGCCTGCCTCGGCCTCCCAGAGTGCTAGGATTACAGGTGTGAGCCACCACGCCCTGCCCCTTTTCCTATTTTAAAGTTAGCTTGTATGTTTTCTTGCTATTGAGTTGTATGAGTTCTTCATAAATCTTGGGTATTAACCTTCTACCTGATATATTTTTTCCCAGTCTGTTAGTTGCCTTTTCATTTTGTTGATTGTTTCCTTTGCTGTGCAGAAGCTTTTTAGTTTGATGTCATCCCTTCATTTATTTTTGCTTTTATAGCCTAAGTTTTTGGTGAGATATTCAAGAAATTATTGCTAAGGCCAATGGCAAGGAGTTTTTCCCCTATTTTTTTCCTAAGATTTTATAGTTTCAGGTATTCTGTTTAGGTCTTTTATCCATTTTGAGTTGCTTTCTGTGTATGGTATAAAATAAGCATTAAATTTCTTTTTTTTTTTTGTATGGAAATCCAGTTTTCCTGGCACCATTTATTGAAGAGATTATCATTTCCCTATTGTGTCTTCTTGGTGCCCTTGTTAAAAATTACTTGACCATGTGTTTTTGGATTTTTTTCTGGGCTCTCTATTATGTTCCACTGGTCTGCGTTTTTTTGTTTGTATTTGAGATGGGGTCTTGCTATGTTGCCCAGGCTGGTCTTGAACTTCTGGGCTCAAGTGATTCTCTTGCCTCAGCCTCCCAAGTAGCTGCGACTATAGGTGTGTGCCACTGCTCTTGCTCCTTTGTATCTGTTTTTATGCCAGTACCATATCATTTTGATTACTATAGCTTTGTAATATAATTTAAAATCAGGCGGTATGATGCCACCAACTCTGTTTTTTGTTTTTTTTCCCTTCAGGATTGCTTTGACTATTTGGGATCTTTGTTGGTTCAATGTGAGTTTTAGGATTTTTTTTTTTTATTTCTGCGAGAATGCCATTGGAATTTTGGTGTGGATTACATCGAATCTATATATTGCTGTGGGTAGTGTGGACACTTTAAAAATATTAATTCTTCTGATCCTTGAGCATTGAATATCTTTCCATTTATTTGTGTCCTCTTCAGTTTCTTTCATCAGTGTTTTATAGTTTTCAGCGTACCTCCTTGGTTAAATTTATTAAGTATTTTATTTTATTTTTTTGATGCTATCATAAATGAGATTGTTTTCATGATTTCTTTTTCAGTTAGGTCATTATCTGAGTATAGAAATGCCACGAGTTTCTGTATATTGATTTTATATCTTGGAATTTTACTGAATTCATTTATTAGATCTAAGTTTTTTGGTGACATCTTTGGGGTTTTCTATGTATAGGATCATGTCATCTGTAAATAGAGATAATTTTACTTCTTCTTTTCTGATTTGGATATCTTTTATTTCTTTTTCTTTTTCTTTTTTTGGTCTAATTGCTCTTGATAGTAATTCCAGTAACACACTGAATAGAAGTAGCAAGAGTGGGTATCCTTGCTTTGTACCTGATCTTAGAGGAAAAGCTTTCAGTTTCTCCCCATTGATTATCATGTTAGCTGTCAGTTTTTCATAAATGACCTTTATTATGTTGAGGAATTTTCCTTCTATACCTAAACTGTTAGAGTTTTTATGAAGAAAGGATATTGAACTGGGTGTGGTGGAACATACCTGTAGTCCCAGCTACTTGGGAGGCTGAGGTGGGAGGATTACTTGAGCGCAGGAGTTCCAGTCCACCCTGGGCAACATAGTGAGACCTAATATCTTAAAAAAAAAACAAGTACTAATCAATCAATAGTAATGTGCATGTATGGGAAGTAACATGCATAGGATGTCAGGCAGGTGGGAGGGGCAGGAAGGAATAGGTAAATTCACACCTAATGGATGTGGTGGGTGCTGTTCGTAGCGCTGACTCAGTCGGTGCAAAGACAATTTATGTAACCAAAGTGTTTGTACCCCTGTAATACTCTGAAATTTTTTTTTTTTTTTTTTTGAGACAAAGTCTCGCTCTGTTGCCCGGGCTACAGTGAGTGCCGTGGCATCAGCCTAGCTCACAGCAACCTCAAACTCCTGGGCTCAAGCAATCCTTCTGCCTCAGCCTCCCGAGTAGCTGGGACTACAGGCATGTGCCACCATGCCCAGCTAATTTTTTCTATATATTTTTAGTTGTCCAATTAATTTCTTTCTAATTTTAGTAGAGATGGAGTCTCGCTCTTGCTCAGGCTAGTCTCGAACTCCTGAGCTCAAACGATCCTCCTGCCTCAGCCTCCCAGAGTGCTAGGATTACAGAAGTGAGCCACCGTGCCTGGCCATACTCTGAAATTTTTTTTTTAAAAAAGAGCTTTAAATTAAAATAAAATTAATTTAAAATTAAAAAAACTGAAAAAAGAAAGGATGTTGAACTTTGTCAGATGCTTTTTCTGTGTCAATTGATATGATCATGTGGTTTTTTTCTCTCAGTCTATTAATGTGATGTATCACATTGATTTGCATATATTAAACCAGCCTTGCATACCATAGATAAATCCCACTTGATCATGATATATAATCTTCTTGATGTGTTGTTGAATTCAATTTACTAATATTTTATTGAGGATTTTTGCATCAGTGTTCATCAAAGATTTGGCCTGTAGTTTGTTTTTTTCTTGTGGTGTTTTTGGGTTGGGTATCAAGGTGATGCTGGTCCGCTAAATGTGTTAAGGAAATATTCTCTCCACCTCTATTTTTTGGAAGACTTTAAGAAGTATTGCTAATAACTCTTTGAAAGTTTGGTAGAATTCAGCCATGAAGCCATCTGGTGCTGGGCTTTTCTTTGTTGGGATATCAGATTACTTTAATAACAGATTGAGATGTTTGTAAATTGGGCCTCAGTTCAAAGGATTAGTCTGTTTCTGGTTTAGACTTTGTCATAAGGTAGCCAGTTTTGGTTGTTGTGGGTATTAGTTTCCTGTTGCTGCTGTAACAGAGTACCACAAATTTAGTGTTATAAAAAAACACATTTATTCTCTTATAATTTTGGAAGTTAGAAGTCTGAAACCAGTTTTATGGGCTAAAATTAGGATATCAGCAAGTCTATTTTCTTATGCAGCCTCTAGGGGAGAATCTGTTCCTTGCCTCCTCCAAATTCTACAGGCTGCCAGCATTCCTTGGCTCATAGCTGCACCACCCCAGTTTCTGCTCCCATCTTCACATCACTCTCTCTTCTAACTTTATTTCTCTTGCCTCCATCTTACAAGGACCCTTGGTGTTATATTGGGCTCACCAGAGTAATCCTGGGTACTCTTCCCGTCTCAAGATCCTTAACTACATCTGGAAATCCTGGGGAGTAGAATATCATCTTTAAAGGTGTTGTTCAGCCAAGCACGGGGTCCCATCCTAAAGCCCAAGCTCATGGCTTATCCTACTTGGCAGGTCCTGAACTCCAACTCCATGTTTTGTCTTCTCAGCTTCTGATTTTCCTGAAATGTTTGCTCAAGTTCTCAGCCTATCAGCCTCTACTTTTGAAGGGTAAAAGAAATGTCAAATGCTGGACTTGCCTTCCTGGGGATTCCCTCGTCTCTCACAGAGTCTTACTGTTTTGATAGCTCTCTGAAACTTTTAGACAGATCCTGCTTTTTGGGTATTTTTGTCCGGCTCTTCTTGATCTTAGCAGGAAGGTTGATCCACAACACTTAGTCTTTGGTTTAACTACTTTTTTGAAGCATTGAAGTAAGCGCATTTTGCCAACTCTTTTTTTTTTTTAATTTGAGACAGGGTCTCACTCTGTTGCCCAGACTAGAGTGCAGTATTGTCATCATAGCTCACTGCATCCTCAAACTCCTGGGCTCAGGCGATCCTCCTGCCTCAGCCTCTTGAGTAGCTGGAACTACAGGCATGCACCACCATGCCCAGCCAATTTTTCTATTTTTAGTAGAGATGGGTTCTCACTGTGCTGCTCAGGCTGGTCTTGAACTCCTGGCCTGCAGCGATCCTCCTGCCTCAGGCTCCCAAAGTGCTAGGATTATAGGCATGAGCCACTGCACCTGGCCTTGCCAACTCTTATAGCATTAGATAGATGGTTATTCTCTATCTTTTAAAGATTCTATATTCCCTACTTGCTTTATTTGTTGTGTGGTGTGAATTTAAAGTGAAAATTTCTGATGGGCTGTTACTGTAAATTTCTCTTTAATGAACAGGCTTAAGGAAGAGGTTTAGTTGTTAGGGGGGATAATAGAGAGCTTACATAAAAATATACATTTTGAGTAAACCTTTGGATAATCTTTAGTACAACCATGCTATTAGAATTTTCACCTCCTTTTAAGTAAAGAATGTGAGTTATAGTCCTGTGTTCTCTGAGAAGCAGGTTTTGGACAACTTTCTTAGTCTGAGGATGAAGGTCTGCCATTTGTTGTCTGAGCTAGTGGTTTGTGATGTTTTAGCTGCTCTGGTTCTGTTTGTTATAGTGGTCAGATTTAAAGAACTTAAAGCTAACTAAATCCAGGTAAATTTAATGCACACATAGAAATGGATTCTGTCTGCTTCTTAGGCATCTATCCAGATAAAATTCAAAATAAAATGTATAGAGTTTTTATTTATGGTGTTGCTTTGTTTCAGTATGAAGGCTTAGAGTCATCTTTAAAGGATGCCAGCTTTGAGAATGAGTCAACAGAAGCACAAAGTTTGGAGGTAAAAAAGCAAATGATATAGTTTCAAAAGCTGGAGAAAAGATTCTTAGTAAATAACAGAAACTTTAAAAGTAATGTGTCTTCTCAAAACTTTTAATAAGTATTTGAAAGAAATGTGAAAGAGTGTCTGTATATGTTAAAACTTAAAAAAAAAGTTAAATGTAGGAAATAGAATATTAGTAGGTAGCAGAAAATATAAAAATTTGAGCTCTTGTTGCTAGCTTATTTTGAGTGAGACATGTTCAGGTTCACTGGAATTAAGAGCTACATAGAAACTCTTCATTCTTCATTCCTGGGAAATGAATTAAGGTGGCCATTCGTCTTTTGCCTCAGTTTGCTCCAGAAGGGAAAACTAGGATTCATTTTCATAAATTTAGGAATAGTTGGCAACAATAAATTGTGTAAATTTTGATAGTATTTGCCTAAAACCTCATCCCCAGAATGTTAGGAGCTAACTAGAATTAGACCAAAAGTTTGCATTTTAAGTAGTGGTGTGTTGGCCAGTGTTTAACAACTGGCTCTCTAAAAGGCAGAAACCCTTATTGGTAGCATTTGCTGAGTTGTGTGGTATAAAGACTGCCACCATAGCCAGTTTCAGGCTACCAACATGATGTCACGAATGAGGAGTTTGGAAAGATACGCTCAGTTGGATCAGGTGTGATGTGGCTAATTGTAAGGAAGAAGGAAGCTAAGTATGGTAATTAGTAATTTAGCTAAACTAAGACAGATGAGAGTAAGTGATGGCTGTGGCTTACTACTCTTTAGATATGGGAATATTGTGAAAAACAGAGTAATGACAATGGATAGAAGAAAAAGCCTGTATCTGTGAACATGAAAGTAGAAAACAGTAGACCTTATATTTTTGTTGTATGTGTTTAGTTCAGCTTGGCCGTTCTTAATCACTGATGTCTGTAATCATCAGAAAGTCTATCTGTCATGATTTAGAATTTTCTAGTAGAGTCCAAAGGAAGTTATAAATTGGATTCCAAATAAAATAAATTTCTTAATCTTTTCTTTCTTAATTTGTTACCTCTTATTATCCTTAAAAACTTATTGAAATTGTTATATTTTATTTGTTGACCCTCTGTTTTAACTGTTGTCCCAGCAGTAATTATTAGTTTGATAAATAAAAAGAATTTTAGAACACATTTGGCATGCTAACAGAAGAGCAAAAACTGGGTAGCAAAGACATTTACTCAAGTGTGGTAATGTGGATAAAATAGAATACACCAATTTATTCTCAGGTCAATGCATTTATATAAGATAGCAGTAAAATTAGCTGAATTTTTCACTGACTTGAAGAGTTTGGAAGTCTTTCTCTAATTTTAGTAATTTTTTAAAACATATGGTGTTTCTTTTCAGGAGTTGTAATCATAATTAAATACAAACTATAGTGTTATATAATTTTTAAAAAATTTGATAGTTGAATCTGTAGATAAAATCAAACCAATAGGCTAACATTTTGATTCATGTCAGGGAATTCCTGTAATGAAATATTCAAATATGGGATAATTCATATAAACAAGTTTTATAACCACTGTATGTAATATAGTATGTATTTGTTCTGCTTTTATTTTTGCCTGCATTAAATTTTTTGAATCTTTTGGTTTATTTTTTTTTTAACAAGTTTGTTGAAGGATCACAAATATCAGAGGTATGTTTATTATAGTATTTAAAATTCAATTGGGATAATCCAACAACTAATCATTTTAAATTAAAAAAAGGTCACAGAAAATATGTTTTAATTCAATGTGGAATACTAACCACGAAGCAATCTTGATTGTTTTTTGAGCTTATTTTGTATGTTATTATGTATTTAATTATATTAAATTAGATTTATTTGTCATTTTTTTTTTTTTCCTTTATAATGCATTAGAGCAGAGGTTGGCAAACTGTGCTTAGGGCATTTCCACCTGTTTTTGTAAATAAAATTTTATTGAAACACAGCTCTGCTCATTTTGCATTTAGGTATTGTCTTTGTTTTCTCACTACAACAGCATAGTTGAGTAGTTGCAACGGACTGCATGGCCTATAAGCTTAAAGTACTCTGTGGCTCTTCACAGAAGCAGTTTGCTGACCCCTGCTAGAAATGCTGTTATTATAAAAATGAGCAAATATATAAACTAAACTTATTTAACTTATACATGTATTTTATTATACTCATCTGATTTACCCTAGCCCCAAATTCCCAAGTCTATTGTATAAAGTTGCCTTTCTCTTTTAGGCAACCTATGAAAAGCTGAACAGGTTCAAATCTAAACTTGAGGATGAAATATGCTGTCTAGAAAAAGAATTAAAAGAAGAGAAATCTAAATATGCTGAACAAGATGAATTGGTAAGGCTTTTGTATTTAGGAGAATATAAGAAGAAGAGCTATTGAGTTTTTAAAAATCAATATGGTATTGGTTAAAGTATTATATGCACTATAAAAAACGCAAAGAATACAGAAGGTTGTAAAGTGGAGAGCAAAATTTTCCAGATCCACCCTTCACTTCCCTCTAGATATTACCATGTTAAATTTCTTGCACATTTTTATAGAAATTTTCTATGTGCACTATAAAGTAGCACATAGAAGTAGTTCATATAAATAGTTTAAATTGAATGGTCACATACATAGTGGATTTTTTTAAATTACTTGAAAGATATGTTAAGAACATTATAACTTTTTGTTTTTTAAAATATGGCTTAAGGAAAATTTTGATGTATGTGAGATTATTTAGTAAGATATGATGTTGGTAAACTTATCTTGAGCCAAAATAACTTAAATGTTACGAAATATTAAAGTTGAGGTGAGATACTATTGTTACATAACTTTCACATAAAATCCCTTTAAGCATATGACTAAATAAACTGAGAAGCTTTTCCAATTTGGGCCCTCACATATGGAGCAAAAGTGTTAGGTTAACATATATCTAATATATATGGCATCTTGGAAACTGGAGGAGTTTAGTAAATACTTGTTTATTGTCTGATACTATCTTTCCAGATGGCAGATATTTCAAAAACAATACAGTCCCTCGAAGATGAATCGAAATCCCTCAAATCACAAGTAGCTGAAGTAAGTTGAATTAGTCTAATAGGTCTGTTGCTTTTGAAAATTATTTGAATTTTATTGCTATTTTTTATTTTTAAGGAATAAGATATTATATTAGGATTTGAGATATAAAGGATCAAGGATAGGTATTTTTTTTTTTTAAGGAATAAGATATTATATTAGGATTTGAGATATAGAGGATCAAGGATAGGTATTTTTTTTTTTTTTTACATGAGGTACTTCAGAAAAGTTCATTTTTTTCACTGGATAAGTATTTATTGAACTATTGCTGTATACTATCACTGTTGAAGGTGCTTAGTACTTAACATTAATAGACAAAAATGTACCCATAAAGTTTAAATTTTAGTAGGGGAGATGCAGAATAAATAGTTAAAATTTGTTGCATAGTACATAGAGGTTAAATCATTTGTCCAAGGTCACATGGCAAGTTAGTGGAAGAGACAGGACTATATCCTGATTTTATGCCAGCCTTTTTTCTGTTATGCCATACTGCCTCTGCTGTTAATATTGGCATGTTTTTGTCTTTGTTTAATTCCATGTTCTAGGGAATATGTGTAAAGATGAGCTATGCATTAAATTAAATTAATTGTTATAAACTTGATATTTTTTCTTTTGTTTAGGCCAAAACAACTTTTAAGATATTTCAAATGAATGAAGAACGGCTTAAGATAGCAATAAAAGATGCTTTGAATGAAAATTCCCAACTTCAGGAAAGCCAGAAACAGGTTTGTACACTATAGCTGCGGTCCCCAACCCCCAGGGTGCGGACTGGTACTGGTCCTCCGTGGCCTGTTAGGAACTAGGTGAAGCTTCATAGCTTCATCTGTATTTACAGCAGTTCCCCATAGCTTGCTTGACACCTCCCATCACCTCCACCCCCCCACATTTTGTAGAAAAATTGTCTTCCGTGAAACCAGTCCCTAGTGCCCAAAAGGTTGGGGCCTGCTGCTCTGTAGGGACTCTTCATGTTGTGAATATGTAATTATAAATGTTCTGGGCATAGTCATGACTGACCCACGTTAGGGGCAAGAGTAGGCTTTTCCTGGAGAACATAGGAGCAGGACAATCTCCCACATATACTTAGGTGTCTCTTTTGTGTGATACAAAAGTGTATACTTCTGCACCCTCTTCCCCCAGGGCAGGGAAAGTAAGCCAGAGCATTCAACATTTTGAACAAGATGAATTGGTAAGGCTTTTGTATTTGAGAATATAAGAAAAAGAGCTATTGAGTTTTAAAAAAATCAATATGATACTGGGTAAAGTATTACATGCACTATAGAAATTACAGCAAATAACATTTAGCACCAGCTTCTCAAAGCCAGAGTGAAGGGGGACAGAGAATACCCATGAAGGTTATTGAAGTTACAGATCTGGGGCCTAAATAGAGAAGTAGTTCTGCTGACAGATCAAATGAGGATTTCA